GTTTTCACAGACAAGGTCAGCTCCCAGACTACTGCACTGGGCAACACAGTATGGGGAGGAGGGGAGCAGCCCTCAGTAGTGAAAGAACAGGTTAAGGACTATTTAGAAAAGCTGGACGTGCACAAGTCCATAGGTCCAGATCTAATGCATCCAAGGATGCTGAGGGAGTTGGCTATGTGACTGCAGAGCCATTGGCCATTATCTTTGAAAATTCGTAGTGATCGGGGATGGTCCCGGATGATTGGAAAAAGGCAAATATAGTGCCCATATTTAAAAAGGGAAGAAAGAGAACCGGGGGAACTACAGACCAGTCAGCCTCACTTCAGTCCCTGGCAAAATCATCTAGCAGGTCCTCAAGGAATCCATTTTGAAGCACTTGGAGGAGAGGAAGGTGAGCAGGAACAGTCAACATTGATTCACCAAGAGCAAGTCACGCCTGACCAACATGATTGCCTTCTATGATGATATAACTAGCTCTGTGGATATGGGGAAAGTAGGGGACATGATATATCTTGACTTTAGCAAAGCTTTTGATATGGTCTCCAACAGTATTCTTTACAGCAAGTTAAAGAAGTATGGATTGGATGAATAGACTATAAGGTGGATAGAAAGCTGGCTAGACTGTCAGGCTCAACAGGTAGTCATCGGTGGCTCAATGTCTAGTTGACAGCCAGTATCAAGCAGAGTGCCCCAGGGGTTGGTCCTGGGGCCGGTTTTGTTCAACATCTTTATTAATTATCTGGATTATGGGATTAATTGCACCCTCAGCAAGTTTGCAGATGACACTAAACTGGGGGAGAGGTAGATAAGCTGGAGGGTAGGGACAGAATCCAGAGTGACCTAGACAAATTGGAGGATTGGGCCAAAAGAAATCTGAGGTTCAACAAGGACAAGTGCAGAGTTCTGCACTTAGGAAGAAAGAATCTCATGCACCACTACAGGCTGGGGACTGACTGGCTAAGCAGCAGTTCTACAGAAAAGGACCTGGGGATTACAGTGGATGAGAAGCTGGATATGAGTCAGCAGTGTGCCCTCATTGCCAAGAAGGCCAACGGCATATTGGGCTTTATTAGCAGGAGCATTGCCAGCAGATCAAGGGAAGTGATTATTCGACACTGGTGAGGCCACACCTGGAGTACTGCGTCCACTTTGGTCCCCCAACTACAGAAGGGATGTGAACAAATTGGAGAGAGTCCAGCAGAGGACAATGAAAATGAATAGGGGGTTGGGGAACATGACTTACAAGCAGAGGCCGAGGGAACTGGGGTTATTTAGTCTACAGAAAATAAGAGTGAGGGGGGATTTGATAGCAGCCTTCAACTACCTGAAGGGGGGTTCCAAAGAGGATGGAGCTAGGCTGTTCTCAGTGGTCGCAGATGACAGAACAAGAAGCAATGGTCTCAAGTTGCAGTGGGGGAAGTCTAGGTTGGATATTAGGAAACACTATTTACCTAGGAAGGTGGTGAAGCACTGGAATGGGTTACCTAGGGAGGTGGTGGAATCTCCATCCTTAGAGGTTTTTAAGGCCTGAAGTGACAAAGCTTTGGCTAGGATGATTTAGTTGGTGTTGGTCCTGCTTTGAGCAGGGGGTTGGACTAGATAACCTCCTGAGGTCTCTTCCAACCCTAATATTCTATGATTCTAACTCCATAAGGGAGGAATGCTGTGAGGAAAAACAGTATGAGATAATGTATAACTACATTATAAAGCATGTGGGGCAGAATTAAGGTTGCAAAGCCTATCTTAATGCTAACATTTACAAACTTTTGAGTGCCTCACTTTGTAGCCTTAATAGTGTTTCTTTATTTCCTATTTCATAAAAAATCCCAGTGTAGTGTCTCAAATTGTTAATATTGATCTCTTAATGGTAATGACTAACTGTGGTTTGGCAATTTTGAATTCATTCTGCTAACTTCCAAGTTAATTCCTTCAATTTTCTCTGGCTTTCAGTATCTAGATTAAATTACAATTAAAGATTTTTGTAAGCTCTTTCAAATTTGCTCTAAAATATGAATAAATAAGGATTCTATCAGAATATTATTGTCTTTGGGATTAAAAAGATTAAAAACCGTTTCCTTAAACAATTTTTTTATTTTTAGTACTGCAAAATGTACCAATGACTTCAAAATATAGTGGACATGTTCCCTTCCCCAGGAAGCATATTTAATAACCCCACATTTGGTTCTCAGCAGGGTCTGATGCCAAGTCTTTCAGCACTAAAAGCCTGAGCTTCTATCACTTGAGCTAAAGGAATACTTTTCTAGCAAGTAGAAGTAATAAGCTTTTAACTTATGTGAACCAGCGTCTAGAAAGGGAAAAGGGTAGATACTGTGCTGGAGTGGGTTACACATACAGTCTATATTTAATAGCACAGGAAAAGAAAAGTGAGAGGAAGGATGGGAGTAGCAGGGTGGTCCCATGATTACTCAGTAAGGCATATATATGCCTTGATAGTTTGGGTCCTGCTCTCTTTTGGAGGGGTTACATATCTTCTCCCTTTCATGGCAAAAGTGAGTTTTTAGTTGGTATTCAAATGAGGTAAAGTACATGGGTTGGCAAACAAATTCAGACGGGCATTCCGAAGGAAAGGGCATTCCAAAGGTAAGCAGCCTAACAAGTGCATTCCATACATAAGCAGCCTATCAAGGGCGTCACGCCTCCCCTTGGCCCCAGCTCTGGAGCTGCGGCGGCAGGGGAGACACGCTCTCCCCCAGCTCCGGAGCTGCTGTGGTGAGAGAGGGCTGGGGGGGAGTCCTCTCTCCCTGCTGCAGCCCTGGGGCAGCCTGCACCCCAAACCTCTTATCACTGGCCCTAGCCCAGAGTATGCACTCCCATCTGGAGCCCTCACCCCACCATGCCTCTGCCTCAGCTCTCTCCTACACCCTGCACCCCCAGTCAGAGACCTCCCCCTCCCATGGGGGTGCCCAACATGCTTCAACCCCTGCCCTGAGCCCCCTCCCACACTCCAAACCCCTCAGCCCCATCACACATCACCTCCATATTGGTGCACATAACAAAATTCATTCTGCACACATATGGGGAAAAATTAGAGGGAAGATTAGGGACCACTGAAGTGATTAGAAAAGGCAGGTGACATGCTTGAAGCAAAAGGTAAGAAGGATGATTTTGGTAGTGGGGTTTGGATGGATGTGGCAGGGGTGGGGCACCAAGGTCAGTATTAATGAGACTGGACAGCAGATTACTATAGTTATGGCATGGACAAGCAACTTGGCCACAGGCCTGAAAGGAAAAAGAGGAGTTTAGAAATAATGTGGAGGGACAAGTAATAAGATTTGGCCACAGCTTGGATGTGGGGAGAGAGACAGCTATATTCATCTTGGTAGGGAATGCCACCTGGTTGAAGTGTGCAGCATTGACTGTCTAAAATTAGCATCCATATCACTTACCCCATAAATTTGTTGCACTGAAAAAACTGTCACTAGCCACCTGGTAGAAAGAAAGGGCTACATTAATTTAAAACTGTCAGTACCAAACCCACTACAAAACACAAACTCTAAAAAGTGGTAAATGTCTAAATATTCAGATAGGTTTGAAATGACTATCAACTGAAAAGGAATATATCTAATGGGTTACATGCCATCACGTAATTGCCACTGTACTGTGTAATTCCATCAATTTAGGCTAGGCAGTGACCCTGTCTACAGGGGGCAGGTAAGGAGTTTAATGCCCCCCCCCATCTCCAAAGTTAGAATGTGAGGAGAGCAGCTGCCACCCCCCCCCACTGCTACTCTCCATCATGCTCAGGTGAGCAAGGGGGGGGGAGGACAGGGAGAACCTTGCATCTGCCCCTACAATGCAGCAACTAGCACAATGGAGCCTGTGCAGGGGGATATTACACCATCAAGACATCTGGTGCAACTTAGTTTTCTCCAGAACAAGAAAGCAGCAGGGGCCAGCTTGGCACTCACTAACAATTTGGTTCCTGCCCTGCTTCTGGGGCAGCATGGCTACATGCTGGGCCTTGTTGGAGCTGAATTATAAATTACAGCCCAGCCCTTAATGACTTGGACATGCACAAATCAAAAGTTAAGTAAAATTGGAGGGAAAAGTTCTTGGCCAACAACTACAATACACAATATGGCCCTGATCCTTCAAGCCTTTATGCTTGGGAGAAACTATGCAGGAGTACTACACAGATTGTGTGTGTATATAACCAAAAAGTTTGTGGAAAGAACTAAAGGAATAGTGACCACAGGAAAAGACAAGCTATACTGCCATTGGGTGCATTAGAAACAAGTAAATGGTTAAGCAACGTGAAGTTATCAGGTAATTAAACCACAGTGGTGACCCCTGGCAAGATTTTGAAAATGCCCAACAGAGCAGAGCGGCACTAATACGGCCTGCAAACTAGTGGCAGTCAGCTCTTCCTTATCACTCAGATCAAAGCATGACCATTAATGTTCCCAAATGCTGCTATTGGTCTCCAGCCTGAAGGAGAGATCTCCGTGGGGCACCAGAAGCTGGTCCATACAAGATATTACCTCCCACCCTGCCGTCCCCTCACACACTGTGCCGTTTGGCAGCAAGGCGCACGTGAGGCTGATGAGAAGACACCCAGGGCTGGATCCCAGCGAACCCCCAGCAGCGGCGGCGCCACGCCCTGGGTTCTACGGTACCCACCAGGTAGGAGCGCTTAGAAGAAGCCCTGCGCTGGGCATGCCGCGGAGGGGGCTGGCGGGCGGCTCTCCCGGGCCCGCTGGCAGGGCTGCTGCGGAGGGACTCCAGGCGGAGGCAGAGTCGCTGCTGCGGGAAAGACGCCAGAGATACCCGCTAGCCGGTGCTCCCGCCCCTTCGCGCAGCTCCTGCCGCTTGGCCCGTCTGCCCCCGGCGCCGGGGGGGTGCCCAACCCCTGGCTGGCTCCCCGCCCGGCCCGGCCTCCCTCCGCGGGGCCTCGTAGGGACAGCCACCGCCCCCTTCGCCCAGGAGGGCTCGCCGGCCCCGCCCCGGCTTCCCCGAGAGACCCCAGCCCTGGAGCGGCCGCTGCTGGACGCGGGGTGGCCTGGCCGGGCGCGCTGGTGCTGAAATGACCCGCGGGGGCTGCCTGCGGCTGCTGCTCTTCGCCCTACTCGGCAGCCTGCGCTGGCCCGACGGCTTCGCCGCCGCCAAGGTGAGGGTCGGGGCGCGCGGGGGGAACCTGTCCCTGCCGCCGGGCTAGTGACTCGCTGTTTAGAGGCGGGAACAGCTGTGTGGGGGCTGGAGGTGGTGCCAGGGGGCGATATTTCACCCACCCACCCAAATCAGTGGCTGACCCCATCTATGCACGTGTTGTAATTATGGGCCTGACGGGGGTGGGAAGGGCCAGAAGTGACAGAGAAGGTGCAGGTCATTTCACTGTAGCTCATTTTTTGCAAGTGAAAAAGCAGCTCTTGGTTGTAGCTGTTGTTTGTGCTGAAGCAGCGCTCAGAGTGATCTGAAAAAAAGTGACGGGAGCGGCGGCTGTCAGACAGCCGCTGTCATAATCTAGGATCAGAAACTTGGTTAAAACCGTGTTTCAAGTGCGCCACTCAGCCGCCCCACTGGAGATTGTTTTCTCTTCGCCCGGTCTGCGAGCCCTTGCGATCCGACCCCGCCGCTGTAAGCCCTGTCCTTTCAACTTCTTTCTTGCAAAAACCCGACATTTTTGTCATAGGCAAAGTTACTGGTATATGCAGTGGAAAGGAATTGGTGCTGGGTACCTTTGCCACTGACGGCAATGGAGGCGTTAACTTCAGTGGCAGCAACCTGGGGCTTTTGCTTAGGAGAAGTAACCAATATAGAGCAGGTAATTAATTTGTAATTTAGAGCTTGATTCTGTAAAGCACTTCAGTACATGCTTTGCTTTAAACGTGTTTAAATGCACTTCTTGGAGAGAGACACTTTCCTGAGTCACGGCCTTATGAAGAGAAAACAGATGAAATCCAGCAGGATTTTTTATTTTGGGGGGGGTGTCTGTATCAGAATTAAACGTGTCACTGAAGTCCACCTTGATTTATGGTGAGTGAGGAATGCAGGATCTGACGTAATTATTAAAACAAAATGTTCTGTTTATCAAAATACAATGGTTTTATAGTTCAGAATTGGCATTTTATTAAAATAAAATATTGCTTTGTAACACTTATAGTTCAGATACCCACACACATATGTGAAACATTGTTACATAAAATGCACAAGGACAGCCATGGGATAAAACTTGTAATATGTAAAACAGCCTGATGTCTAAGCACCTAAATGTCAGTATTTTATTTCAGGCTATTTCAGATACATAATACTAAATATTAAAAATAAAAAAAATAAGAGACCCAGAACAAATTTGATTGCATTAATAATCAACTCATTTCCCAAGGTTTCACAAATAATGTAATTTGTACCTGTTGAGAGACTCAGTATTGTTATTTCTGCAATATTTGAGTAATCAACTTTCGTCACCAGAAAGACCAAGATAAGAGCCTTAATTCTGTTTCCAGTGTGGAGTTTTACCTGGGCAGCCTCAATCTGGTTGCGGTACAGGACTATTTAGTTAATAATAGTAATTCTTCTTCCTTTTGTGGTATATTAGTAGCTCTATATCTGTCTACGCGCGCACGCACACACACGAAGAACCATTTACCATCTACATCAACCTCAGTTTGAACTTTTTATAATATACAGTATGCCTATTTGATTCATATTTTAACACTGGTACCATCTGCATTACCCTACGCTGCAATTTAGTACACAACTTTCCCTTGAGAGCAAGCTGACTAGAGGGATTTCCAGTCCTCTCTGGCTGGCCATTAATCCCTGCAAATGCATCTGTTCTGACAATGGAGCAGGAGGTAACTATTTTGTGGTTGGATGCTACTGTGTAACCCTAGGTGTGGCTCGCCAGCAACATTTCTGCTGTATGTCAAATTGTAAACTGATGAAATTAGCAATTTCTGTTGAATTTCCATATTAAATTTCTTGCATTATAGTAATTGGTTTATTTTCCCTTTTAAAAAATAGTCACAATTATCTTTTAGTGCTTCAATGGAGAAGTAGTAATGCTGTATAGTTGTGGTGGAATTACAAAATATTCAGCAGTCCATGATATAAATAAAAATATGTTGATTCTTTATTTTTCATTGATAGATTTAAACAGTTTCTGGTATAAAGATTCCTAGCACAAGATTGTTTAGTCATTGCTGCTATCTTAAAATATTCTGGCTATTTTATTGTTAACCCATTCTGGATAAAGTATTTAAAATTAAATAAATGACTCTCAGGTGACTTTTTCTACATATTCAGATATTTCTTCTCTGGCACAAGGAACTTGCAGACAAACTTTAACCATTTAATCAAGATCAACGTGTTTGTTTTTAAGGTAATCAAACATACTTAATAATTGCTTTAGTGAAGATCCAGCATCGCTGTTGTATTTTCCTTTTCAATACATTACATATTTTTCTGCAAACTTGTTTCAAACCTGTCATAGGTCTGTTCAGAACTCTACTAGGTTCAGTATTTCTTTGGCAGTTCAGTTGATTTCAATTATGTTTGTGTGAGAGAAACATATAATAGATTTATTTTTGGTTTACAGCAGAGTAATTGAGATCAGGTTCCTATCCAAAGTCACCTCAATTGCTGTTCTTGTATGTGCATGCCAGTATTGTCTAAAGTGAGGAAATCAGTTCTGCATAGATATTTCCAGCTGATAACAATTTGGATCAAAAGTGAGACTCCCTAACCTGAGATTATTAAAAATAATAATAATAATTTGATTTTAGTTGCTAATATCAATTGGCATTAGCTTGTTTATCAGTGAACCATCTCCTCTTGATTGGACTGTCATTATGACAAATCCTTGTTTACATTTTAAAAGTAAAGTAAAATATTTAACTAGTGAACAATGTCCAACTACTTCTGAACATTTTGTTCTTGTAGACATAAGCCGCAAAATGTTTATAGACTGTTTTGCAGGTTTGTTTCTTTTAGTATGTCAGTAAACAGTTTATCCAAAGATAAGAGTGAAAACTATAATGGGTGGTGGTGGTAGTGGTGGTATTTATTTATTGTTTATATGACAATAGTGATGTTCACAGTTCTTTGCAACAAGTAGGAAGCCACAATCCCTGCCCTGAGGAGCTTGAGCTTTCTGGAATGTGTTGGGGAGTTTTCTCATTTTCTGTAATGTTGTTGTTTGCATTCTTTACCTCAAATTTTTTTTAGGAGGTCTATGTCTGGACCCCATTGTGGTAGTAACTGTACAAAAATGTGATTAAAAAGATGGTCCCCAGATCCTAAGAATATGAAGATGATGCACAAGCTTCAGCTGGTACAGAATAAGGCAGCCCACCTTCTCCATGGCTTAGGCCTTTGTGAGCACATCAGGCCCATGTTCAAGTCCCTCCTTGTTACCTTCTGATACCAGTTCAAGGCTTTGATACTAATTTTCAACGCAATTAGTGGATCAATCCCCCACTATGTTAAAGACCAAATTTTGACCTATGAACCACTGTGCTCCTGTGGGACAATGCAGAACATAAACTGTGGACAAAGCATGTGAGTGTAGGTTGAGGGCATCTTAAATCATATGGAACAAACTTCCAGAGGAGACGAGGTGAATCCAGAGTCTGAGCATCTTTAGCAAATGCTGCAAAACCGTGCTCTTCGAAAAAGCTTTTCTACTATAAGAATTAAATTCTCAATACTGAAGCCCCTGTTACCCAATAAACCTCTAAACCCAAAGAGGAAATTAGTACAGTCTAAAAAATCAAAACCAAATCTCCAACCGAAAGCAGTGTTTTGATCTCAAGACAAGAGAAGTGCTAGAGACTCCATGAAGTCAACTACAGATTTCACTATAGCTACCAATTTTACATGGAAGATGCTCTGATATTTTGGTAATGAGTGGCAGGATAAAACCTAAGATAGAAAGCTTTAGAATCTGGGGGAACTGAGTGATTAATTCCTGTGGAGAATATAATAATCAATTATAAAGTCCTTAAGAATAAAACAGCTGGATTTGTAGGAGAGAGAAAAGATGGTATAAAGTAATATATAAGATGCAATTTGGCAACTTGAATTGTAGAAGGTATACTTGATGGCAGACCTAGTGGAGGGTTTGAAGGGCATTAACAAAGAGAAGCAGATGTCGTAGGATAGGTTAATTGAAAATCAAATATTTTTCATTTTTTGAATGTTTTGAATAAATGGCACTCTTATGCCCTATTAATCTACTTCCATAATTTATCAAATAGTTATAGAAGTAAATGCCAGATGTGTTATTTTTTTTAAAGTAGTTAATACAATTGTGTTATCTGCAGATATATAAATCAATTTTCAGAAAACTTAATTTGTCTTTCTAGGCTCTTGTACTATGTTCATCATTGTGGTATATAAGTGCCAGATATTTACGGCCCTAAAGATGCAGATAGGCATCTAGTGGGATTTTTCCAGAGTGTTTAGGTACCTAACATCTGTAAGTAGGCTGCAAAAGTATATGGGTCCACTATGTTTCATTCTTTGTGTCTTACTGTAACCAAAAATGTGTATAGTTTTTTTCCATTGTGTTGAAGGGATTTGAGGGTCAAATTTGGCTCTCATTACTGAGTGAAACAGTAGCAGATCAGACCAGAGTCATTTGATACACCAAAGTCAGATATGAGTAGCAATCTGTACTTTCAGTTTATGTATAGTATCTTTGATACCAAATTATTGCCTTAAGCATATTTTATACTGTGAAATGAAATCTCATTAATTCAATGAATTTGTCCTTCAGAGGTCAGTTTGTGTAGAAAATCTTTTTTTAAGAATTTATTCTTCTCTGCAAGTGGAAACTGAAGCTTCAGTTGCTTAAGATTAAGCTTGACTGGCATAGATAACCAAGTTTCCCTATTAATTCACTTGTGAAATCTCTACTTCCAGAAACATTCAGAATGATAGTACTTTATCTGCTCAGATAATACTTGAAAGTTAGAAGGCTTGTTTATAGTACTGTGAGTCCTGTACTTAAAGTAATGATTAGTGCACTTGCCGCTTAATTGTTTCACAGTTAATATGCACTCTAAAATTGCACAAGAATCCAAGCAACTCATGATTTTGCTATATCAAAATGACGATAGTAAGTAAACTAACTAACTAAAATGTAGTATTTGTATTTGCAATAGT